AGCCTTATTAACTTAGCACTGAGTCATTGAGGGGCCTGAGCTGGACACAAAGTTGGGAAGAACATTCCAGGCCAGGTGAAGCTCAGGTGCAAAGCACCTGTGATGGGATATGTACGCAGCATCCCTAAGCCTGGCACCTGCGTTTGGGGCCTGATTCTCAATCTTCCCTGGCACCACTGGGGTTGAGGACTAGTGTCCCTTCTACCTTAAACAAGGTCAAGGTGGTGGCCACCAATGCTTGTAGGTCTGCCCCTTACTGGGCTCCCCTTTTACGTCATCTCCTGGGGCCTGAGAAGGTTCCTGTTGCGTCCTGTGGTGTCCCCAGTGCCTAGCCAGGGGTGGAGGAGCATGCGGCAGAGTAAACATTCTGTAAATGATCACAGTCTCCTCAATGCCTGCATGGTTAGTAGGCATTTGAATGACGAGGCCCACAGATGTTGCATTTCATGGAAATCGGCTGCTTTGCCTGAAAGCTTCATCATCCCCAGATGCCAGGGGGCCTCAGGAAGTTGCGAGGCTGCACATTTGTCTCCATTTCCATTTTGGCCTGGGTCAGTGCCCACACCAGACATGTCCTTTGCAGGCACTTGAAAGTGCAGGGTGGGGGGGTTGTAGAGGAGGGAGGTCAGCAGCCCTCCCCCAGCTGCCACCAGCCTGTCCTCAGCTCATTGCAGGTGCACAGCAAGTTGTGGGCATAGAGCTAGGACGCTGCTCGCCTGTCTGGCTTCCGTCCACTTCCCCATTGTAGTGGGCATGCCAGGAGGTCCTTGTTTAAAGACGTAAACCAGACCATTTGCCTGGACCCTTGCCTGGGATGATGTAAACAAGTCCAGGATGTTTCCAGAAGGAGGCCAGGTCACAGGCTGCCTTTCCTCCCCGTCCTTCCGCTAGGCTCCTTTGCTGCTTCCATCCCGCCCCCTGCCACTGGAGGTGCAGAAACCTGCAGTGGTAGCTCTCCCTGGCATGAGTGCACCTGTGCTGTCTGCTTTGATGGAGGGCATTGGAGGCACGCCTGAGAGGAGGAAGCACCCATCCCTGACCAACCTTGACCTTGCTGTGCCTTGCCGAGCATTAGGACAGCATCTGCCAGAAGGAATTCTATTGCTGCATGGCAAGTTCAGCTCATAAACTTTAGAGAACCTTATATGAAGCTATGCCCAAATGTTTAAAAAAAAAACAATAAAAAAACCCTTGAAGTCTATGCATGGTTTCTATATAATGCACATTTTCCTTGTTTCCTGAAGACAATTTGTGTATGTCCACAGCTTGTGTTGTTACGGAGAAAGCATTGGGTGTTTGGGACGGGGGATTTGCAAGACCAGAGCTTGAACACAGAACTCTCAGACTTCCAGAGGCTGCCTTGACTTCGGAACCAGCCCAGTTCCTGTGGTGGCCACCCTGCAGTGCAGCCTGAACCAGGCGACACAGACCAACCCTGGTTCTGCCTCTCACATTCCTCTAAAGGGAAGGGGGCATAGTGCCCCAAGGGTTCACTTAAGGCAGCCAAACTCAGGTAGCATGGGGTGTACACGTTTTGCCTGGGAGCCTGAAGCATTCAGCTTGCACAGCTTCTGCCCTTGTCTTAAGGTGGAGGAGCAATAGGGAGAACTCTGATGGGGCAGTGGATGGGCAGGGTGAGGGATCTTAACTGTGGTCTGTGGTTCTTATCTGTGATGGCAAGAGGACATCCAGGAGAGGCTCAGGATACTTGGAATGGGGGAGGAGGGCACTGTGGGCTGGCGATAGGAGGGTGAGGTCAGAGTCAGCTTGTAGAGTTTAGAGCCTGGGCTCAGAAGGAAAAAGGCTTCAGGCATAACTTAACATAGCAGCCACCAGGTGCTAACATCTGGCTGCACCAGGAACAGTCTCTAAAACATGTCTTGCTCTCACCCCAACTCTGGGAAAGCCATAATTACAGAACCCCTGCTCCCTCGTTCTCTCATTCTGGCAGCCTTTTCCTGGTAGGCAGTACAGGGACCCCTACTCCCATCCAGCTGTGCACCCAGGCGCTGTGCAGTTGGACAGTGTGACTTTTCAGGCAGGACTGACAGTTTCTGCATAGCAGCTGTGCAACCAGGTGCTGTAGGTGTGGTAGCCAACACAGGTGTTGCCTTGGATGGGGTGACTTCAGCCACAAGTCCTTGACCTCTTACAGGTGGACTGGAAGTGATCACCCAAATCCCCCCCACTATACACAGGACAGATGTCCGTCCAGCAGTGCTGATGTGAATGTTGGTAGAGAAGGCGTAGTGTTACTTTGTGTAGAATGGGTGGGCAAGACCTTTGCCATTCCATTTCTGGGAGTGGGGACCTGCTTGGCCCAGGGTTTGGGGAAGAGCTGCTGGGGCAGGTGACAGCACTGACTGTGGACTGTGGGCACAGTGTGTTCAAAGAACCATAGGCAGGCCAGGATGGAGAGCACAAGTGTGGCCAGAGAGACTGCTTAGAGGCCTTGGGGATTGCCTGCAGCCATGATGATGGCGTCGACCTTGCCTGGGAGGGTTCTGGACGAGAAAACCCTGCTCCCTGGCTCTCTGGATTGTTAGACCTGTGCTTGATCTGCTGGTGCTATGGACAGGGGACGAGCATCTCAGCGATCCCACAGGTGCAGCTGGTGCTTAGGTGGTGAGAGTGAGGAGTCTTACTTGCTCCTGGTGTGAGGTGTGACCAGTGAGAGCAGTGGAGCAAATTGCCGGGAATCTCTTGTGGCTCTGTTGGCAGCTCCATCCTACTCCTGCTCTGCTCCTCGTGGCATCTGTTGAGGCCAGTGTGTCAGCTGCACCTGTCGCCTTAGATTTGAAGAAACAGAAGGGATTTGGCTGTAATCAGCTCATTTCCAGATTAGCACATCTAGTGCCTTCAGATTTTTGTGGAGCCTTCACCATAGCAGTAGGAGAACACACACCATGAAGGATAATAGAGTGTGGGGAGGGAGGCCAAAGACAGTGACATGCCACTGTGTACTGCTCAGCACCGGATGCTCAGCCTGGCAGAGACTACAACAGCCTTGTCCAGAAAGTTGCAGACTCTTGTGACTGTGCCCCATGCCAGTGAACTGCAAAGTTGAAACATTTGCAGTGGTAAATTTTGTGTTCCATGTAGCTCAGCACACTGAAACAAAAGGTGACGTTGCATTCTCGTGCTCTTCCTCAAGGCTGAGAAGCAGTGGTGCAGTAACTCAGCCACAGCCACAGCAGGTACCAACTACCCTGCCAGCCACACGCCTCTTCCCATGGCCACAAACATGTTTGCACTTTGGTGGAAAGGATCCAGGAACGAAGGCGCTCCTTGGCCTTGCTGGCTCCTGTGAGCCAGAATGGAGAGCTGTGAACCAGTGCCTGATGTGGCAGGTTTGCTGCTTGAGGGAGCTTCCAGCAGCTATCCTTCGGTCAGTGTGCACCTCGCCTTCCTCTGTGGCTCTCCGTGGCCATTGCCATCCCCCTGAGAGATGAAGTGCTGTGGGCACAGGGAGGAAGGCAAGCAGCAGGAGACAGAGCTGAGAGCTGAGCCCCAACCTAGGACCATGGCACCAGGATCATTCTCCATGCACTCACTTACCCCCTCTGTCTTTTGGCTCCCAAACACTTGGTGACATGCAAGTAGATGCTCAAGACAAGCATGTCTGAGATGAAGGAAGCAAAGGGGCTCTGGGTGCCAGGTCCGCATTGCAGCTCCTGTCCCTCATCACCCTCACAGAAACCCTTAGGGCTGAGGTGGAGTGGGATGAGCCCAGGTGCTGACATCAGCAGGACAGTGCCCTGCTGGCAGTGCAGGAGGGAGGGCATTGGGCTTCTCAGGACAGGAAAAGGGGGCTTCTCATGGCCACATTCCACTTCTCCTCATTTCCAATTCACCCTTATATCTCCTATTTCCTATAGAAACCAACCATAACACTATCATATCCTACATACACTTCCACTCTTACCACCTCATACACAACCTACCATCCTTATCTATATTAATACCTCCTCCATCACCCAACCCATATATATAAATCTATAACCATACTAAATACCACCATTATCCCACCCCAACACTAATCCTCACCTACATTTTAATAATACCATATACCCTTGCATCAACATCTTTACAACATCCCACATCAACACCCCTTTCTCACATTTATACCATCAAACCATCAGTATACAATTATTCCTAATAAACCCTTCATATTATTACTTATCCTTTCCAAATATTTTTCCTTCCAATTGTACACACTCTACCCATACACACACTCACACCCACACCTTCCCCCCTTCCTTTACCATTATCCACCCATTTTCAATCTGAATTTACAATTACCATTTAATCCACCTTCTTTAAATTTTACCCTACCCATTCTTCAGCTTTTTCTACCTCACTCATTCATGTACTCCCCAATCACATTCTACATGCCTTAAATCCTGTTTTCTTACCACAATCAATTCTAACATACCCCAATTAACCATACATCAACTCTTTTCCCCACCTCCATTCATCCATCTCCCCCCCTTAATATATCCTGTACTTTACCAAACATCAATTCCATCTTAACACCACCATACATCCCAATCCATAACATCTAAAACCCAAAGTTATATAAATTATACTTTGTTCATATTCTTATCCCATCCCAATCATATCTCCAATGGTCCAAAACCCGTTACAAACATAATCCCTCCTATCCATCCTGACCTATATACATCTATCTTTATTAATATCTCAACCCAACCCATTTTCCCCCCACCCTACTCCATCAAAATACAACCATCCACTCCTCTTCCATTTGATTATTATAAAGATTTTATTCTAATAATATTCTTCGTATTTATCACCAGTATATCTCCCTTTCACCACATATTTGCTCCCCCCCATGCCAATCATTTCCTAATCCCCTCCATAATACTGTCTCTTATCATTTAACCCTTTTTTTCACTAATCCATAATTCTAGCATTTCATTCATATGTTTACAATTGTTTATATCTGCTCAACTGCTCACGTCTTTCTCCCTTCCCTGTAGGACTCGTGTCAAGCTGGAAAGCCTGGAAGATGCCTACATCCTGCGGGGGGATGACGATTCACTGTCCGACAAGCACGGCTGCCCAGCCTACGTCAGCCCCGAGATCTTGAACACCAGCGGCAGCTACTCGGGCAAGGCCGCCGATGTGTGGAGCCTGGGTGTCATGCTGTACACCATGTTGGTGGGGCGCTACCCGTTCCATGACATTGAGCCCAGTTCCCTCTTCAGCAAGATCCGGCGTGGCCAGTTCAACATTCCAGAGACTCTGTCGCCCAAGGCCAAGTGCCTCATCCGAAGCATCTTGCGGAGGGAGCCCTCGGAGCGGCTGACCTCGCAGGAGATTCTGGACCACCCTTGGTTTTCTACAGATTTTAGCGTCTCCAATTCAGGATATGGTGCTAAGGAGGTGTCTGACCAGCTGGTGCCGGATGTCAACATGGAGGAGAACTTGGACCCTTTCTTTAACTGAACTCATGCCCCGCCCCACAGGGACTTAGCAGGCACCTGGAGTGAGAGAGGGCGGCTGAAGGTTCTGCCAGGGGACACGTTGCAGTCACCTGGCTGGGTGGCAGGAAAGATGCTCACACTTACAAGTTTCTTGGTTCCAAGAAGGAGGCCCTTCCGGGAGCTGAGGGGACATGTAGCATGGGGCTTGGAAACGGGGGCTGGGGCTTGGGTCAGATGGGCAGGAGCCCCCCAAACCCCTAAGTTTTCTTGTCCCTCACCAGAGCCTGGGAGATCACCCCTTTGCCAGATGGGCCACTTCCGCCAACTCCACTTCTCATTTTGTTCAGAACTAGTTGCAGATACGGATAGATTCAAAACTCTGCCTCAAATACACATCTTGGCATCGCACTGTTAGTATTTCACTTCTTCTATTGATTCAGGGAAGTCACCTGGTGGAGAAAAAAAATTTTTTTTTCTTTTTTTAAGCAAGCCAGCCACCTATTTGATAATTCCTGGGGGATCACTTAGAAACACTTCGGTGCGCACAGACGGACACCATTCCTGGGTGCTAAACTCAAAGAAAACAGAAGTCCGGCTTGTGTCTCTTCATCGCTCTCCTCAACTCATTTCTTTGAAAGAGACTAGGTAATATCCTGGTTAGGAAACTGCGGGAGAATGGCTTCCTGAAGGCATGTGTCCTGTGCTGCCTGTCTGCGGGCAGCTCGCCTTTCTGCTGTCAGAGTTTAAAGGGGAACCAGAGAGCAGACTCCCTTTCGCATTTTTTCCCCCTGTGAGCAAGGCGGGTTTGCATGCTAAGCATTCCTGGTGGCCGAGCTGGCCTGGGAGTGTGGGACACTCACGGAGCCTCATCCTCCGGCCACACTTGGATCTCAGCTGGACGTTTTGTCTGTTTTCTTGGAAACTAGTGAAGCGGAGCTGGTTGTCCCAGGTGTATAAAATACAGGGCAGCTATTTAGTTTTCTGTGTGGGGGATGATACTTTGATCCCGGAAGGTCCTCTGGATTGGATACAGACCCTCAGTCGACTTGTGCGGGAATCATGATGGCGGAAATCTAGGATGATATAAATAAAAGCAACTCTCTATCCCAACACGCACCTTCGTATTTTCAAGAACTCTTCTATTTATTAAAGGCAAATGTCACATTGTGATGTGTTAAGCCAGTACTTCAATTACGGGTTGACTTGGGATGACATGTTACATGCTGTAGTTAACATTGATGACTTTTTTTTTTGTTTTGTTTGAGTATTTCTGTCCCTGAAATAACCTTCTAGTTGGCTTTTTTAGATAGCTTCATTTGATTTTGAGTGGCGACATGTTTGTTTTTTTTTTATTACGGCTTTTCTATTGCTGTATAATACAGAACTCTTTTGGCATAAATATTTGAGTTCCTAGTACCTCAGTTTGGATTGTACTGCCTGTATATGTTTTGTGAATGAGTCATGTTTTGGGATAGGTAACCCGTGGACTCTAGTGTGTAAATGTTACTTGAATCTGTGCTTCATCGTCGTCCGTGGCATGTGTGTGCAGACTCTTGGATGCTTTTGCCTGTTCAGCAGGAGGCCTGCCCTTGGCATTCCCAGGGGAGTGGCTTCCCCGTTCATCATCAGGAGACAAGGCGGCCATGGATTTGCCCTTGATTATATTTTGATAATGGAAGATATAAAGGAGAGAGGGTTTTTTTTTAACACGTGGAAGATGGTGCTGTGTCAAGACGGACCTATTTTCTCCCCTCTCCCCTATTTTTTAAGCCCCTTGTAAAAGGAAAGATGGGTGACATGCATGGTGGGTATCTATGGGCTCTGGTGCTTTGTCTGTATTTGGTTTAATGTTTTTGTCCTAATCTCTTCAATCAATAAAATTGTGCGTATTTAACTAAAATTCTCAGCGCCTGTAAAACGGTGACTTTATGCCAACGGGTCTGAGAGCACGGCATTCCGCTTGAGAACTCCATGATCCCACAGGTAGTCAATTTCAGGATGAATGTTGTGACTATGATTGTCATTATTCATTCCTGTTTGGTCCAATTCCAGCCGATCTGGAATTAGTAGCTCACCAAAACCATCCGTCTGGACCGAGTTGAGAAGTGTTACACATCAGAAGACAGTCGCAAAAGGTGAAGCCTTGTCCAGGGTTAATCAGCCTGCAAGAGATGGAGGGGGTGACCGGAGCTCAAGTCTGTCAGCATCCCTGCTGACACTTTTTTTTTTAAGATTTATATATGGGATAGGCAGGTATACAGAGAGAAGGAGAGACAGAAAGATCTTCCATTGTTGGGACTCCCCAAGTAGCTACAAAGCCAGAGCTATGCCGATCTAAAGCCAGAAGCCTGGAGCTACTTCTGTGTCTCCCATGCAGGTGCAAGGTCCCAAGGCTTTGGGCTGTCCTCAATTGCTTTCCAAGGCCACAAATAGGGAGCTGGATGGGAAGCATGGTGGCCAGCATATGAACTGGCTCCCACATGGGATCCCAGCACATGCAAGGTAAGGACTTTAGCCACTAGGCTACTTCACTGGGCCTGAACCAGGTGCTTCTTTTGTGTCCCACACACAAGTGCAGGGTTCCATGGCTTTGGGCTGTCCTCTACTACTTTCCTATGATGCAGGCAGAGAGCTGGTGAGAAGTGGAGCAACTGGGACACAAATCAGCACCCCCATAGTGTCCCAGTGGATACAAGGCAAGAATTTAGCCACTAGGCTATTACCCCGGCCCCCCGCTGCCACTTTCTACTGTGGTAGAGCTCAGGTTTTCAGGGAAAGAGCAGTTAACAGCTGTATAGTAACCAGGCCTGCGTACTGCACAGGTAGTCAGGGATTGCACGTGGGTTTCCTGGGAAAAGCAGCATGTGCTGCAGCCCAGTTCCCAACATCTACCGTGTGTGTGTGTGTTTGTGTGTGTGTGTAGGCTCCATTGTTCAGTCAGAGTGACAGGGCTGGGTGGGCCGTGTCGACAATCCCATTCGTTGTGCCTCTCCTTTCCTAGAGAGATTCATTTGCACAACAGAGACCTTTCGTGAGCAGCACAGCAGCTTGGAGAGTAGCTTGGCGAGTCAGATAGCAAGGTAGACAGGTGTAGCAGAAGGAATTGAGTAAGGGAACAGTGTGGGAGTGAGAGAGGGTGAACTCATGGGGCTCGGGGAAGCTTGTGAGATGGGCATTCCACCTGTTCAGGTCTGTCAGGTGTGTTCTGTGAGAGGTGGTCCTGAATCAGAGTCCAGAAAGGCAGAGAGCGGTGGCTCTCCATGCAGAGGGAAGTGTCTCTCCGAAGCACTGAGAGCCTGAGCCAATGGTGGATGCTCTAAGTGGCCGGCTGTCTATGGAGTTTGTCACAGCAGTGTCCCTGCTGAGGCTGGAGTTGGTGCAATGAGACGTGGCTTTCTTGGCAATCCTGTTCTCAATCCACAAAGGCACCACCTCTGGATCCCAGCACCTGAGCTGGCATCCAATGTATGACCAGTGTCTGGTACATGGGAGAAATTCAGTAAAAAAAAAAAACAAAAAACCTGCTCGTTTATGCATAATATGTGCTGGGGCACTCTAGGTGCTGCTAAAATGCCTTCCTAGCCTGGGTTTCTAAGTTGCACATTGTTGGAAACAGCTCGTGCAAGATTCGAAGCCTACCAGTGGCTTTTGCTGGGGTCTGCAGAGGCTGATCCAGTTCCCTTGTTCTTTCCCTGCCCATGGTTAAGCAGAAGTGGGCCTGGTGCCTAATGAATGCCTGTTGGAATCATGAACTGTGTGGCTGTTGGGGGGGACAGGCAGGCTTTGTTGGCATTCACACTCCACACCGGGCCTCTGGAATGAAACCTCGTGGGTGGAGGTTGGGGAGATAGGCGGTTTGAGTGAATTTGCTTCCCCTATCCACTAACGTCTGAAGAATTACCCAGCAGTAGTCTTGCAACCACTGAATCCTCTGGGACAGATACTTCATTGCTTTCCTACCAGTCTGGACATGGATGAGTCAAGGCCATAGCGAAGTGAGAGCAGAGGTGTGGGAAGGTAGCAGGCCAGACTGCTCCTTCCTGTCTCCATAACAGCGACAAGTCATTTAGATTTCATGAAGACCAGAGACGCTGGGAGGGACCAGTGAGCTAAGAGTAAAGACTGGAACGGAATGTTAACTGTTAGCAGTCAGGCAAGGTGGGCACAGGTCTGTCCCTTTGAGCAAAAGTGCTGCTGAAGTTGAGAACACATTGGGAGCCATGGATGAGAAGCGGGATGCACCTGCTGAGAGCCTCCGGTGGCTGCACTTCCGTCAGTTTGGAGCATGCCTGATGCTGTGGCTCATCAGAGTTCCCAGGTAGGAATCTCATACTCAGTGTGGTCTGTGTGAAGAAGGGGACTGGGGGGGACTTGATGAGCTCATGAGTGGCATTGGAACTCTTGCAGAAGAGGCTGAAGGGAGCTCCCACTGGATGAGGACACATCCAGAGTTGCCCTCACATGCTGGATCGGCAATGCCTTGCTCCCTCTAACAACACACAATAAATACCATGACTGATAAGTATACAGTCTAAGGGACACAGTTATCATAGCCTGGATGAATTGAAACCAGTCATTGTGGCACAGTAGCTTAAACTGCTGCTTGGGATGCCTACGTCCTATGCCAAAGTGCCAATTGGGGTCCCAGATACTCTGTTTCTGACCTGCCTGGAAGGCAGCTCCTGCCACCAATAGGAAAGACCCAGATGGAGAGTTCCTGGCTCCTGATCCAACTAAGGCTATTGCAGCCACCTGGGCAGTGAAACACACACACACACACACACACACACACACACACACACACACACACACACACACACACTTTCTCTCTCCCTTTCTCTGCTGTTCAGGTAAAGGAAAATAAATAAATGGTTTTGAAAAGATCAGCACTGGCTTCTACCCATTTTGACAAAGTGTTGATGGTTCAGAGAGGAAAGTTGGAGTCCCCTGGGGATTAGGCAGCAGAGCGTGCTTGGGAAGTGCAGGCATGTAGAGGTCTTGCAGGTGCTGTCCCTTGCACACCCAGGTTCCTTCCCCCACAAAGTCCTGTCCTCCATGGCCTCCTTCACTGACTCAGGCTGTCATCTTCCATGAGTAGCCAAGAATGTAACAAAAACAACCGCAATCTGCAATAATCACTGAGTCCAGGTTGGGCATCCCTAATCCACAGATCTCAAGTTTGAAATGACCCAGCACCTGAAACTTTTTGAGTGTTGGCAGGACACCGTAATCTAAAAAGTCCACATCTAACCTCAGGGAACAGCTTAAAGTCAAGAGCCAGTTGTACCAAAATCATTGTATTGAATGATCCGTGGGCTTCTGCGTAAGATGTGTAAGAAATACAAATGATCTGTGGGCTACTGTGTAAGATGCGCAATGCAAATGATTTCATGCCTTGATTTCAGTCCCATCCCACAAATGTCTTATTATGCCAATGCCACAGAGCATGTAAATCAAGATAAAAAAAAAAAGCTTCTGGTCCCAAGCATTTTGGATAAAGAGTACTCAACCTATAGTAACACAGAAATACCTTAACCAAAGACCTCTGTTTAATATCGTGGGTTATAGGTGATCCCAATACTAAGTCAGACAATCTTTCAACATCCAACAAGTGAAGAGAGCCAGGGAGTCAAGCTTGGAGTCTGAAGCCCACCCAGAACCTGGCAGGCCTATGCCGTTTCTCTGTGTGTGAATGCAAGGTGTATGTAGGGTTTTCCCTTATGAAACCAAACACCATAATGAAGACTTGGCCTGAAATACGAACAGAAGGTCAAAGTCAGATTCCACATCTGTTTAATCCATCACTATCAGCTTTTCGAGTAGGTATCAAGTTCAACAAAGAAAGCAAACCTCAGATATAGTAAATGAACTGAAGGCAGGCCATCCAGGATTGAGAAAATGTTCTATTTGGATGGAGGCATCACAATCCCCACAGCTGTTGCATGCTGAAACCTTTTAGCCCAGCAACCAAACCTCTAAGACATGGGAGCTATCACAAGTTCCTCTCCACTCCCCTGTCACACCCACTCAGAGAATGTTTTCTGAAACTCCCAGTCTCAAGAGGATACAGGGGAGTTAAGAACACTGAGACAAAATGAACTATTCACTGTTCTGTGAACTTAATCATAATCAGACATACTCAGAAACCTTTGAACACCCAAATCTTCCTCCTCTCCTAAGAGACTCTGCTCCCAGACAAGTTCTTAATGGGCCTTGTCTTAGCTCAGACGGAGGTAACAGAACTCCTGAGGGAGTGGCCATATGCAGCAGCTTACAATCATGTCCACTGTTCTGGAGGCTCAACGTTCAAGGTTAAGGCATGAGCAGGTTAAACATCTGAACAGGGCACTTCCTGTGTGCACTTAGGGTCTTTGTAGATGTAATCAATTTAGGAACGGTCCCAGCACCACGAGAGTGGACCCCAATGCATTATGCCTGGTTTTGTTGTAAGGAGAGAGGAAAATGTATAGGTGAACTACAGATACACAGAGGGAAGGCAGCCATGTGACGCTGGGGGCAGACTCTGGAGTGATGTCACCACAGCCCAGGGATTCCTAGGGCTATCTAAGCTGGGAAATACAAGCAGCAACCCTCCTGGAGAGCCGCAAGGAACACAGTCCCTGAAACTTCCAGTTTGAACGTCTAACCTCCAAGACTGTGAGCTGATATACCTGTGACTCCTGGTCCAAGGAGTCCCTTTCGTGGTCCTCTAGGAACTAATGCATGTGGGATTCTCCTAAGATTCTGGAATGCTGTTGGGCCTGGGGAGCTAAAAGAAAACAAAATATGATCGTTTCTCTTAAGATTGAATGTTACTACAGCATTCACAAGCGATCCATCCCTGTCTAGCCTAGTGGTGCTGTAGGTAATGGAGGCTGGGTGGATCCCAGA